GTTGTATTACATATTTTAGCCTGCCATCTGGTCAGCCCTGCCTCACACCACAGGGGACCTCCTATCCTCTCATATTCTTATTCCACTAGCATATTGTTCCCACTGCTTTCAACTGCATTGCCCCAGCACTTCTCTACTTCTTTATTTATTTCGACAGACAAGGCTGGTGAGCAAGCTGCGCCCTCTCTCCACCTCATCCCCCCACCCCCATTAATCGGCACCTCTTGCAGTTGTCCTATCAAGTGTAACCTGGAGGCCCCTAGTAGAGCAATTAAAGCGGCCTCCCTGCCCACCTCTTGTAATGAAGCCCAGCACATTCTGGAATCTATAGCCCCTTTAGTCTCCCCTAATGGGACATCATTATTGTCAAAGAAACAATGTAAATGGAAATGAACATACTCATTAGCTAGTCGCAGGGAGAAACCTTTGCCGCTCTCAGCTTGCAACTCCCACTTCCGAGCCGTGCACACATACACACACACACACACAGAGCAAAGAAGTTAGCCTTCTCTCATCTTCTTCTGCACTGCCGCTGCTGTTGCTGCTGCTGCTGCTGCTTAATTCCTCTGATAACATGTTTGTTTGAATGTGCATATGTGTGTACTAAAGAAGACAGTGTGCGTGTTTCCCTCAAGGTAAAATGTGGAAATGGAAACATCATGTATAATTCCATTACTGGCGTTCTCTCAGTACAGCTGTTAATTGTTGTGTGCACAAGTTCACAACGCAGTGTTTTTTTGCTCACCTGTCCCAGGGTGCACCTGTGCAACGGTCCAGGTCTCTGTCCCCAGCCAGCAGTGCGGAATTAGATAGTGGGAGGAAAAAGGAAGCAGCGCAGAGGATTCAAGACCTGGAAGAGCTGCTGCAACTGAAGGTAACTGCTGATATGAATGTAGAAATTAAAAAGTTATGTTCTTGTGTGTTTTGTGGTACATGAAACTACTTTTCCCTTGCCAACACACTCCTTTTTTAAAAATCTATCATGTCTCAGCTTTCTCAATTATTTCTTCATGAATTCATGGCGATGACTGTCCTGTAATAGAACCAATACCGAGGGCACATCACTTGTGAAGTTCGGAAAACATGACAGAACTAGAGACACCGTTAGAAAACATTAACGTTGACCAGAACCCCCTTTTAAATGTTGATGCTGGCAGCGCTTTCTGCAGAATAACTTTTTTTTAACCCTTTCATGGTTAGTCTTCTAAGACCATGAGTAATGTTCTGCTCCTCTAATGAGTAAATGTCAAAATGATATCAAGAAAAACAAGGACAATCTACAGTTAAATGAATTTAGTGAATAAAATCACTCCCCGCACACTTATACTGAGTTACATTGTTCCATAGGAATAGAACTTTGACATAGTTTGTTAGTTTCCTCTGTAGTTTGTTTAATTTTCCTGATGTTTCTTCAGTCGACCACTTGCCTCTGACAAAATAGAACAAGTTGTTTGTCCACTGCGTTTAACCTTCTGGTTATTTGAAGTCTTAGATGAACGTGTTTTTAAATTCTGCTTTTCAATGAGAGCTAACGATAAGACAAAATAAATCACAGTATGGAACCTTACCACGAAATGTGGCCCACCCTTATACAGTGTACACTCTCACACCTAAACATAGAGTACCAGCAGTCAATCGAAAATGTCTGATTGGATCACACCAGCCCCGCACATTAATATTTGACCTTAGCAGCGAGCAGTAAAAACAAACAAACAATTCTTATAGTAATGGTGACTTTTTTCTCCACCTACACCAAACACTTACAAAATAAACAGTAGCTGTTGCAGTGTAATTATTTTTCAGCTTGAGAACTTCCACTGATGTGTATGCTGGCAGAGTAAGGGGCCGTATTGATCTGTGGGCAAGGGCCTGTGGCCTGATGACCAGAGCTGAGCTGCCCAGGGGAGGATCTATAAGGAGCCTGGGAAGCCATGATGTGGCTAATGCTTGCCACTTGCTCCATCCAGTCCCTCCATCAGTCAGCTCCAACTCTTCTGTGTGCTCCCCCAGCTCTTGGTTCAACTAGTTAACACTGCACCGCTCTGGCACCTTTCATTAAGACGCTGTGTTTGTGAGGTCGGGGGGGCAGCTCGAAGGGCCGAGGATGTCCTGCAGACGTCCTCTGTGAATAATCTGCACGAGGGAAAATCCATACTTGTCACATTGACAGTGTGAATGTGTATCACATGTGTGCACACCACTTGTGAGTCTCGCCCGTGTTTGTGTGCTGTCTCTGTTCTCTTTGTCCTTGTTAATAATAACAGGGCTGAGGGCTCGCATTTCCCTCTCTGCAGGGCAGCCGTGTCATATCAGCAGTAAACAAGCTCCTTCCCTTCAGAAAGCACTCGACAACTCTCCCTAGCCTTGGCCACTCAAGCAGAAACCTGTCCTGCACTCTTCTTTTCATTTTCTATTTTGCTCTGCCTTTTTTTTTTTTACTTCCTCCTCTTTATAATTTCTGTGTTCTTGGTCTTTTTCTGCTCTCTATTTTCATCAGCTCTCCCCTCCTCTCTCCTTTCTCCACCTCTGTTTGTCCTGCCTGTTGAAAGTATTTTCTCCATCGCCCTTGCTGTTAAGGTCAGTGTGATGGGGAGGAGGGGCAGCCCTGACAAGAAAAATCTATATGTTGTGTTCTCTTACTCATTCTTTAACACTAGAGCCCAATCTTGCTGTGTTTTAATAGCTGTCAACACTGTCAGCAGCCGACCAATGGCTACATCCCCCACCAAAACAACTGGCACTGGCCATCAGGCAGTACCTCCAGTCACTGAATTTCAGAGTGTAGTTATTGGGCGCGTGTTTTAGTAATGCATGTATGTTTACCCGGTGTTCTGTGGCCCCATCGACATGTCATGTTGTTGTCATGCATTAATGATGTCTCAGTTTCCCAGTGAGATTAGCAGTTGAAGCACTTGTCAGGGAGAGGGAAAGGAAGTGAGGGTGAACCTGCTGCTTCCTGTCAGGTAAAGATGTTCCAACTGTGGACCAGTTTAAATATGTAGACAATGAGCAGCTTTTCTCACTCCTGCTGCCACACTGCTGTGCTAGTGCACGTGAAGCCGAGGGCCCCGTCTTCTATTGTTTGTTCGAATGTTTAATTTGGAATGTACAACTGTGAAAAAAACAAATCTTGTCCTACAGACGGTGGAGAACGAAGAGCTGAGGAGGGCTCATGATAAACGACGTGAACGCCTGTGTCTGATTCACAGCAACTACAAAGTTGTAAGAGACCAGATTAAAGAACTGGAAAAATCATCTGGCAGGTGAGTACGCACTGAGAACACACTGGCACCTAACACTTAGACAAGTAGAACAGAGATTGCCAAACGTTTCAATGCTGAGGAGCCCAAAAACAGCATTAGCTTCTGACCCTTTTTTTTAAACAATTGCAATCCTTACTTCATGTTATTACAAAAACAGTGTAAGCAGAAAAACTACTTACTAACATTTACAAAACAGCTACAACTCTGCTCCCTGTATGTTCTCTGACACAGTACTGGACCTGGTTAAATGATATTCCTTCCTGCAATTTTTCCCTTGATAAAGCTCTGAGGTTTTAAGCCTTGTATTTTTGGCTGACTTTTGTGTGTGTGCTACTGCATCTCTTTTCCCGCAGTGTTCATTAGGATGTGAGAACCACAGTCTGTAAGTGTCTGGTCCTGGGGTGTAAGGTGTTTGAGATAGTCTATAGAGAGACGTGGGAGGATGGGGGAGGGCCATTTTCTGCTTTGACCTGTCATCTTCACATTAAACCACGGGATTTTAACACAAATCTTAAAATGTGCCCTTAATATTAAGGTCTTCCATCCAACTGTTTTCTCCCACCTTTCCTCGCTTTCTCTGCCTGTTTATTCTTTCCAACAGTGTCAAAGAGGGCATCTTAAAATGTAGCTAAAATTGCATATGTTTTGGTGGCCATGCGGGAGCAAAGTGTTGACCCCATCAGCTGTTTTCTCTCAGGGTTAATTAAAGAAAACAGCAGTGCAATGTGGGCTGTGTGAAAGTGTATTGTGAGAGTGTGTGCAGCGCCAGGCTCCAGCCGCCTCGTGTCGGCTCAGCGCGGCTCAGCAGCATGTGTTTAAGAGAGTGGGAACAAAGACAGAGAGATGGAACTAAGAATACAACCCCAGCTTTGATTTGTTTTATATCATAACGAGTTATGAAAGAAATAGAAGAGAGCTTTTGTCACATAATTATATACATGTTTCTCTAATTAGACTAAATTAACCTGAGATGAGGTTACGTGCTTGGAGCTAAGAGGATTTAGATTGAGCATTTCTTGTCTCTATGTGTTTGTCGGAGCTAAGAGGATTTAGATAGGATGAGCATTTCTTGTCTCTATGTGTTTGTATTTTATGACTGATTTGACATGAAATTACTGCAACAGGCAGGCGTGGCCTTTTCACTCTGAGCCCTGCGTGGCACCAGCCAGTCACTCAACATAATGATGCTGGTATTCATAGGGCATTATGCCTCTTTTTGAAATCACTGTTAATCCCATTGGGATAATGCCATCCTGAAAGAGAGACAACAGAAAATGACTTAAATACTCCCATTAGTCCTGGTAAATCTGGGTCTTAACAAGTCGGTGGGGAAGGGCAATGAGTCTCATTGCATTTTGAGCTTGTTAGGGATTTTCCTTCCATCTAGCATGCTGCGCTGTTGCCATTTTGGACAAATGTGGGGGGTCATTTGTTTTCCTCTTTGCATGCAGGAGTGTCCTTACCTGATACACACAAACACTCATGGACAAATACAGCGGATGGTACATTTACACAAACTGATGTCACAGCAAGAGATACTCTGTATACATTTGTTATATGTATTGTTTCACGGATTAGTTTAAATATGATAAGGATTTGACAAACCAAAGTTAGTTGAGTGGAAACGTTCTGGATCCCAAGTGGCACATTATGTTGATGTCAAAGTCTGTTAATGTTGACTGATAAAACAATAACGCTATAGTGTAACTGATTTCATTTAAGGTTAAAGTTTTTAAACCCAGCTTGGACACCAGTTTAATGTTGGGTAAGATGTCAAACCTCATATTGTCTAGTTCTCAGAAATAAAACTACAAAGTTCTAATTTTAAAAGATGATAAAATAGGTGTTTTGTCATTGTGTCTTTTTTAAAAATAAATTTACTTTCCATTTCTTTCCAGATTTATTTTTTATCATGATTAATCACTGTTGATTACCATCATTATTAATGACAGTTGATTGTTAGTTTGTCACAGGTGGTTTCTTTTCCTCTGTGCCAAGGTGACAATAATTAGGTCCAGTCCAGATTTGGTGTCTTCCCGGCCCCTCTGATTGTCTGAAACCCAGATGTTTTTGTTTTTTTCACAAATCTCTTAAGTATTTGGTTTTGTCTCAGGTTTTAACACAAATATCTTAAATGATAAAAATAAATCGACATATCAAACATGACTCTCATAACACGAGTAAAGTGATATTTAAAAAATTCATACAGATTTCAGTTTCTGTACGACATCAGCCCTGTGTGTGATAACTAGTTCTACCAACCAATCACAGAGTAGACAAACGCCTTATTGACTTATCAGCATGCAGGTAGTGCACAGTTGGCCAGTCGCAGTGAAGCTACCCTGCCATTCAACATTACCAACATATTTTCCCAAAATGGCATGAAGGAGAGGGGGAAAAAGCCAACTTCTTATTGATATTAGCGAAGGGAAAAAGTTTTTTAATCAGACTGGGGATGATGGGGTGAGCAAATAAAATTAAATGTTATTAAAGCATCTGTACTCTGATCAAAGTTGCGCCCATAAACAGATTCCCCCTGAATCAGAGCAATTAGCTGTAGCGGCTTAGAAAAGTTCTTTCTATTTCCTCCTGCTTAATAATGGAAACTCAGATACCAGAGGGAAGGAATCACTGAGGCCTAAAGTAGATAGCTCTCTCATGGCTCCATGTTCAACAGTTTTTAGACTCAGGGTAAACAAATTAAAAAATGTAAAGCTTTACCGTAACTCTATAGAGTTGTGTGCACACTAAGAAATTTAGTCGATACACTGCATTACTAAAAACATATTAAAAAATAAACTAAGGTGAGGGTTAAAATAACATTTTGAATTTATGATCAGCTCAGTTAGTGTGAAGATTGTTCATGATGAAATGCTTTGTGCTCCGTGTCTACCTCCTTTCCTGCACGTTGAGATGATCTGTTAAGTAGCTCTGCACTTTGGGAACCTCACCCAGACTAACTGCACACACACACACACACACACACACACACACACACACTCCCAACATATTCTATAAGGAACTTCAATGGCTCCAAATTGCTCACAGGGGCATTAGCTGTATTAAATGAAAACATTTGCTTTTTTCTGTTGCCTCCAAATCCCAGGCCCACGGGTTTAACTAGTATTAGCGCAGCATGGCAGAGTCCATATTGCCAATAATGACTACAGGAAAAGGAACCTTCCTGCATAGCAGTGTCACTCACAATCGATATCCACACCTCCTCTTCATTGATTTAGTTGTATTGAAAAACTCTACTTCATGTGAACGGAAAAAAAAAAACAACTTAACTTCTCCTCATCTGCCAAATTTGCAGTCCTTGGCATTCTCACTTAGAGCTGTTTTAGTTAGCAAATGAAAGGCTAATAGGAACAGAATGTGGGGGGCAGAGCCTGATTGATGAGTTGAGCAGTGCTGCTGTGTGTGTGAGATTGAGTGTGTGTGTGTATGTATGTTATTCGTTTGGAGGGTGCAGCTACTGAGCACAAAATCCTATTAAGTATTCATACGTGAGTTGTAGACATTTGAATGACCTCGTTTGTGATCCTGTTTTTGCCATTATTTACATTTGCATGGCGCTGAGGGAATGGAGCGCTGCCCTGCCACACTGACAGTGCCCTGGGCCTTTACAAACATGCAAACCTGTGTACATGAAATGTCAAAGTCAAGGCCGCTCATTTGAATACTTACAAAGATGGCTGAATAACAAAAACAGAGTGAGACTAAGGGGCCTCGTTACCCTATGTGTGAGCTGCCCAGAGAGAGCAAGGTGATGTTAAGTATGATCCATTTTCCCTTGTTAGTGTGTTTGTTTTCCATCTGTGTGCATATTTTTTCTTCCTTTTGTGTGTGTGTGTGTGTGTGTGTCTCCCCCCCAATGAACCGCTCTCTCTCCAGACCAGGTGGCAGGACACAGCGGGCCGAGCCCTGGCAACTCAGACAAGAGAACAGCGATGCTGTGTGGAATGAACTGGCCTATTTGAAAAATCTCACCAGAAAACTCTCCATTGAAAAGTAAGTCAATTGTTCACTGAAATCCCAGACCCAGAAATATAACAGTTTAAAAGAAAAAAGTATAAGAAATTTGTTTGAATGTTTATTCCATTCCATTTGTGAAACAATATTTATTACAAAATGTTATGTTGTAACTCAATTGGTGCACTTTTTAAAACACTCCCTTTTAGGTAAAAGACTTAAAGTTAAAACAGATGTGTGCTGTGTAAATTCAGGGAGACACTGTTTTAAATTTAAAAAATACAGACAAATAGATGTGCAAAATTGTCCATAAATTTGAAAAGACCACACCCAAGTAGCTGTAACAGAGAAACAGTGTTCAACCATCAGAATAACACCACCAGAAACACACGTCCAGTCGTGATATAAAAGATGAGAAACAACTGAAACATCCAGAATGAACAAGATTTTAAATGATGCAGATTGTTGTGTAGTAATTGTAAACAGTAAACAAATATAGACAGTATTTGTTGATAGTAGTAGATGGCTGAGAGTTATGGTTCTGTGTCAACTGACAGTGATCTTGCATCTTGTCTGTAATCTTAAGAAGTTATAAAAACAACACACTTGTTTTTTTAACCACCAACTAATCACAGCTGGCTGTTCCAGTGGTGTACTGCCCAAGATGGGCAGGGGTGAGGTGGTTACCCGCACATCTTTTTAGAAGTTCTTCACAATAATAACCAGAAATCATAGTAGAGAGTGCCCTGACCAGCTGCTTATATTGTGGTAAAGTGCAAAGCTGATGAAGCCGTTCTTGAACAGAGGAAATGTGGAACAGACTAGTGAGCCCTAACAGACAGGATGGGAATAGAGAGCAGCATGGAGGTTACTGTGTCTCTGCTGACCCAATGAGTGCTGCCCGTTGGCATTGACAGTCTGAAGCTGAAACCAGAGTCTAACCTAAACTTATGTAACCTTCTACCATTAGTGAACTTTCACTGGACCACGTCCATTGCTGATTTACTTACTTGCTATTTATGAAATGCTCAAATCACTTCCAGTGGAAAAGACAAATCGAATCAAAAGTTGTACATGTGGAAGATCGTATCAGGAATGGTTACAGCATGAAATCTTTTGTTTTTCATTATGTTTTTTTCTCTATCTGGATGTGGTGTTGCCATTGTGTGGTTTGATGTAGAGAAGCCCCTGTAACAATGTCATGAATACTGACCCAGCGTAAGGCTCCACAGAACCTGGCCTAAAGCCACATTTCCTTTTTCTGCCCAGTCTTCCCCAGCTTTCACCTTTCCTCACCTCATACCTCCTCTATCCCCCGTCTCTGTGCCATCCTCCTCTCTTACTCGTCTTCCCAGTTGCCTCCCTCTGGCCTCTGTGGTGCTGCAGTTGGCTGAGGCCAGAATTCTGGGTTTTGCCCCCCTTCCCCCATTCTTCCTTCCCCTCTTCACCCCCCCGCCCTGTCCTCCTAATCCCAGCTGAGCTCATTATGATATAGCCTAACTGCCTCTCTCCAAGCCTGAGCTGTCCAAGCTAATTACAGGCTAGCGGCCCCAGAGCCGACAATGCTGCCTGTTAAGGGATGTCCATCCGCCCGCCTGCCCAGCCACACCACAGCTGAGCAGAGCAGAGCACTGGATTGGTAGGGAGTGGGGCCTGTGGGTAGAGGGGTTTTCAGACTATCGTGCTCATGCATGGTCCTTGGTCTTGACCTGTGAGGAAACACTCGGGGGATCACAAGCATATGGCCTCTTTCCAAACTGTAACTGGCTGTTCTTCTGGGATTTGTTGATCACATTCATGTGCCCCGACCACCTCCACCTCACACACAACCCCCACCCCTCCCATCTCTCTTACTTAGGTGGATAATGAAAGGGAAACTTGGATGGAATCTGTAAACATCAATCTGCATACATGAAGAATTTGTTTTTTTAAACAAAGTGAAATCGACTTCTTCTCTCTGAGTCTTCCCTACTTTTCTGTATCAAAAAAGGATTAAACCAGTTAGAGAAAAAGCTATCAGATTTTATCAATGTAAATTTCTGCTGTGATTTAGGGGACGTAAGTTTTATATATATTATAGTTTTATATATATATATATATATATGATTGCTCTGACATCAAGAGTTTTGAAGTCATAACTACCTGGAAACACTTGAGCTGCAGTTACAGGTCATTGTTCAGTTGACCGTTTTATGATTGGACTTGTGAAGGTTATGCTAGATAACGGTTAGCAGTGGACCTCTGATGTCTAATAAACGCTCAGCAGCAGAAAAATTTAGAGTCGAATAAAGCCCCTAATGAAACTTTAAATACGTAGCTGCTGGATTCAGACTGCTGGCTCTTACACTCCATTTGTCTCTTGGTTTCTCCTCTGTGTTGTCATAAGGCTGTGCACAGATGCTACCTATCAGCTCCTCAAAACAACACTCATAAACAGGGTCTCAAGACACATATGACCATTTCCTAAAAATTAATATTGCCAGGGCAACTCCAGCTCAGTGGGTCCCTCCAGTGCTAAGAGAAGGTGATCAAGCCCTGGACTCCCTGTGATACAGGAATATGATTTTTGTAGTAGAAGGTGAAACTGTTAGTTTCTCTGCTCTTTTATTATTTAACTGCTTCCCTGTGGCTCAATTTTACGACATAAGGACTTGAGAAATAATCAGTGTCTTTATTCTTTGACTCTTTATTCTTTTGAATCTTTTTTCACACTACCACAAGGACCATATATGTTGAGCCAATTTATTTGTTGTCCTGACATGTTAGACTAGAAAACTTCCCCAGAAACGATTGGGTGCTACGTCTAACACTTTATAAAGACAGTGAGACAAGACACTTCTATACACAAATCTGTAAATACAAGGATGTCATCAGTTTACGACGTCCTCTACCTACGGCATTTCATAGTTACGTCGCCATGTCACATAAATTTAAATTTAAAAAGTCCTGTTCCATCATGCAGACTTACCATATTAAAACTTCACCGTACATTGGATTGTGCTACATTTAATTTTTTTTTTATTTGTCTGGTTTTTTTGTGAAATTTTTGCACTTCATTATGGCTCCCAAGTGTAAGTCAGATTCTTCCGATGTTTTTATGTCCTGGATTATGATGTTACCACTGCTTTAGCCTATGTGAGTGACATAGATAGTTATGTACTGTAATGTGAGTTTTGACTTATTGGCGAATATTGAGTTGTGTCCAACAAAGTCAAGGACCGCTTGTATGACTTCGATATATATTTAAGATATTCATAGAACACCAAGACATGACATGACTACTAGTAAGTTAACTTTTACAGTCAGTTGAGTAGAGGCCTTCTGGTTTAAAAATATGACTACTAGTAAGTTAACTTGTTGAGTAGAGGCCTTCTGGTTTAAAAAAAAAAGCTTTTTTTTTTTTCAGAATCACAGCCTTAGTTCACACATGAAGTGTATACTCAAAGGCAATTTGCCAAATAGATGACATCACTATGTGAATTAGCCAGAGATTAGAGGGGAAGAAAATCTTTCGAGAATATTTGCATTGCTGCAGCTGTGAAACCAGCTCTGTTTTTTTTTTTTTTCTGACCATTATGGGGGTGAGCCTGGCTAGTAAGTCACATTGACACTAATTTAGTTTAATAAACTTTACTCTGATGTTGCTCATATTCCTCTTATTTTCTTTTAGTTTCATCTTGTCTCATTAATACTAGAAGGTATTAGTATTAATGAGACTCTTTTGCCCCCACGGACCGGGGCTTAGTTAAGGAGGGACACATTTATTTAATCACATAAACACAGAATGTATTTTATTATGCATGTGTTAAAAATCAGATGCATGTTTTTTTTTTCTTAATGAATAATTTGCCAAAATAATTATTATTATCATACAGGCTTAGTGCACCATCAAGTGTAATCGAGTGTCAAAACAAGGTCAAATTATACAAGTACGGAGTTAAATTTGGATATTTAATAAAATGTCCTTTTTATTAAATAAACCTCCAAAACACCATTCCTACAAAGGCACTGCATTTTGCAAAGCTCAGTCTGTGTACTGATAGCTTAGCATCATGCAGGATTTTATTTTCTTCTCATAAACAAAAGACACATTTAAACCAAAGGGAAACAAATATTTCTGCATACAACAAACGTCTTCAAAATGACACTGTCGTCATGTTAGACAATTTATACTTACAACCCAAGATGAAATAATAAAAATAAAGATGAATAAAATCAACCTTTTTGCATAGTTAACACTGCCAATTGAACAGTGAAGGAGTGGAGATTTACAGCCAATATCAAATTACAATTGTCTCCCACTTTCCCCTTAATAAAGTGTTCCTTAAACTGAGAAGCACTCATATTAAACATCTTATCAGGCCACTGTGCCATTAGACTGAGAAGAGACATTGGCCTAACCACTGTTGTAGTTCATCTTTGAGTGTTTTGTTAACATCACATAACTCACATTGTTCCTCATGTTAAAATACCTCATAACTGATGACATAAAATACTGACCTACTTATTATACAATAAAAATATAAATAACTACACACAAGGGTAATAACACACTGAACTGCAGTAGGAAAACAACACAGCTGCATGTACTGTAGTTAACAGTCACTCTAAGTGTAAGGCCAGGTGCTGATACTGGTATCAGTGTATGTGTGTGTGTGTGCGTGTGTATAAATTGATCGATTGATTTGCGTTCACCTATACCGGCATCGATGACCAGTTTCCAAATGTTAAATTAATCATAAGTTGTGATTCCAAACCATTTCTAAAGTCCATATTTATATGTAAGAAAATAAACAATTCAAGTTACATAAGACATCATTAAGATGAAAAACAATCAAACCAACTGATAGTGAAGCTGCTGTTATGTCATGGATCTTTGACAGAACAGGTTGAGATCATAAACAAAAGCAGAGTTTCTGAAATGTGAGGGGAGTCGGTGGTTTTTGATTAAGAAAATACCATTATTGTGATTCGATTAGAGTAAAGTAGAGCAGATTAGATTCAACTGTATTGATCATAAAACTTTGAAAATAATTTTGTTTCTTTTAGTATTTATGTGTTTGTAGATAAGTTTTGGGTTTTTTTTTTTTCCACAAATCACATTTTCATTGGTCCTTGTGCTGCAGTATAAGCTGTGTGGTTTATTGAGATGGTGACTCTCAACACTACTTTTTTTTTAGAGGCCAGTGCCATTCAATCCCTTTCTGTCTTACCGTTCCTGTTCAGTTAAGCCGTATGCCGTATAGTATAAGCTCAGTTGATTAATGATGTTAAATTTTGGCCCCTAGTTTCATGTTATTGTAAAAGTGGGTCAACTTTGATAGCATCTCAGGCTGCATCTTTTTTTACTCTGGATTCACTATGACTGTGATGACATTTTATTTGACGGCGATTTTTGTATATTCTCAACATCTCCACAATAAGCAATAATTACTGGAAAAGGGTCAAATAAGTAGTAAGTTGTCACGTTCAGGGCTTTCTGGTCATTGAACCGGCGCAGCAACCCTATCCCTTGCTTAGCCAAGAAAATTATCTCATCCTTTAATTTTGCATTTGAATAGTGCCTTCACGTCAATACTATTAGCAACCGAAATATGTGAAAAAGAAACATGAGATAAGACAGGCTTTTGCTATATACAGCAGAATTCTGTTTGTTGTGCCATTAGCTTCCACCACACATAAATCAGTACCGCGCCTCATCGACTTGAGTTCATTTATGGAGGCAGATCCATACAGGAGCGACATGTATCCATCTGCTTCCTCACCCTCCCCCAGGGAGAGTCTTTTGTGTACTTATTTAAGCTTGCCCGGCCATTAGACCCGCCTTCTACTGGACAAGGTGGGCTTAAAAGCGAATTAATTTTTTCCTTTTGTCTTGTTGTATCATTATTTTACGATAATATAATTTGGTGATTTAACAAGTTAGTTTAGACAGTGTCACTTTTATTTCTGACAAATATGCCAGTTTCCCACGATTGACTGTGTCATGAACGTTGCACGCAGCCTGTCTTTAGAAGTAAGTCCAGCGTTCGCGTCGCTGTTGTAATGAGGTTAGCTGTGGGAGGAATGCCACTACAGTAGCAGCAGCTGCTCGTTTCTGGTGTTTGCCTCTGACTCTGTGGCACAGTGGGGAGGGAAATTAGGTGCGTGTTTCAGGTGTGTGCGTCTCTGTGGGCCTGCATGTATCCTCAGTGGGCTGCTATTGAGGTCCTAATAATAACTTGAAAGTGCAAAGTCTTGAGCATGGCTTCACATAATTAGCCTTTAGCAGAAATCAAGCTAATTGCAAAGAGGTAATTGGGCCCCCTTTCCTCTTCTCTGTTATGATACACAGACGGGTGAACACAGTTCTTCCTGCCTTGGTCTTTCATGTTACCTGTCACTTTGATTTCCTGATGAATTGTAACAATTTTAATGAGTAAATGTATTCACTCTGCCATTGTATTAAACTTCAGCTAAGGGACTGAATCATACAATGTAGAAGTTGTGCATCGATGAGGTAAAAAAGATCTCTGGACCTGAGTTCATAGGGTGTAAGAAAAAAATGATACAGTTACCAAATTCTGAGTTAGCTTTTACTCAACAAATGAAATTAAGATTGTCAGTGAAACGGCTTCTTTATTATTTAGAATTTTCTTCTTTTCCCATATAGATTAGGCTTCAGGTGCATTTCCAAATTACTTATATTATATTTTAGTGCATAATTTAAATCTTTTTTTCTGGAAATGTGGATTCGGATAGAGTAATTGTTTTACACCTGTCATACATTTGTTGTGTTGCCTCTGCCTGTGCTTTTAAAAAATAAATATAAGTCTAAAAAACATAATTTTTTAAATATGTGTCTGCAGAACTGTTTTGGAGGAGCAGATGGACATTTTGCGAGTACAGGCAGCCATGGACCGAGCAACAGTAAAGGAGCTGCGCACATTTCTACACGATGAGCACCAAGGTGAGCCGTTGTTTAGCTTCTTTTTAAAAGGGAAATACCAGAACCTACCCCAGGTCAGGAATTCAAATGAGGTCGCCTGAAATGTCTAGTAATTGATTAAAACAAATACTGATAAAAATAATTTTTCAACTAATTATTAATACAATTTTGTTTAAAAAACACCACACGCAATCTTAAACAACTGTATTATTTAACTTTTATGAATAGAACATAAGTTCAAATGAAACACAGCATATAACAATATCTGAGCTGGCACATCTTGATTGATAGCTGCGATCATGTGACCTCACAAGTCTATATAAAATGTCTCTGGGATGACCAGAAATTTGTGATATGAGAATGTGGTCACGAAGCACTGCCAAAAGGACTTAAGTTTCTGTGATCCAAAAAAAAACAACCTGCAAACAAAAATCACATCCTGGGGTTAAAAAAAAAGAGCACATGAGAGTCTGCATTTGGTCATTTGCATCAGTGAAAAGAATTAGACAACTCTCAAAGGATTAAAAATCAACTCAATTATGTCTTGATCAACTCCTTGCACATTGATCGAAGGATCCTTTTATCTGAATGTACCGTCCCCTGTGTAGAAAACCACATTAGCTCTAATCAAAGCCGCATTCTTTTGTCAGAAACTGACCGCTGCAATCAGTGTCCTTAATTAACCTGTTCAATAACAAATCTGTCACTTTAATTGTCCACCAATGGAGTTCCAAATGTGTGATTTAAACCATGGCACTGATTAAAACAGTGGATCCTCATCTAATGACAGTAAAGCGTTTAAACGAAAAAATGAAGCTTCTTTGTAAGGACTTATTGATTGAGTGACTGGTTTAATATTTAGGAATTTAAATTGTTCTGCGTTTGTTACTATAGAAATAGCTCTGGACAAAGTGCCCTCTACAGAAGGCAGTGTGTATTTGTTGTTTACTGACCTTGTTGATGATCCTCTGTCTTTGTAAAATGCTCTTTTTAATGAGTCAATTTAAAATAAGCTTTCTAGTAATATTAAGCATTTATTCACAAACAAGCCTTTCAGCACATAGAAAATTACATTGCTACAGAATCCAACTAAGTTTGTTTAACTTCTCACTTAGTGAAATATGTATTTTCTCAATGTTAACTCCAGATTGTAAAAAAATAAAAGGTGGTCACATAGCTGTACTCCGGACGAACCTCTGTGACCTGATCAAAGGGATAGCAGGTTGATTGCTCACAATGGAATCATGCTAATGAAAGGCAGCAGATGAAAGAAACAGGGCCTTTGTGCTGCAGCCCATGAGGAGTCGTGGGAGGGACGTTAATATATGCTGCTGTGCCAGGACTTCCTTCAACACAGGGTGACTAGGGAGCCACTGTGTCTTCATATCAAGGTAGTGCTGAGGTGCCAGGTCCCAAGCCATTGGTGCCGAAGTCAGATAATTGACTCCAAAAACTGGTTGTGTATCCATCGAACACGGCAGCTCTCCTGTCCAATTTGGTGCTCCGTTTGATTGACTGTGACACGGCGGAAAGAAAAAAGAACTTCCTAATTCATAGTAACAAAATTCCCTGGGCAAGGTGTCAAACAAGAAACTACAGCAGCCTCAACACCGTTTTTTCTTTGTGTTCTCTACTTCCAACGCATCCTAAAAAAAAAAGTACTAACCTAAAAAGTCACAATCGAAGGTTTTTGAGCACATTATGTGAAGCTTTGTTGCATGAACATTTTACCGGAGAGAATTAAATGCAAAAGCGTTGCATATTGTGGTATTTTTATTTGTTTGGTTGTTTTGGGTTTTTTTTTTCATAGTTCACACAGTTCAGCGTTTTTAAATGTATGAACACAAATTCTCTAATTTTATTGTTTATGTATTTTCTATGTGAAAATAATAAATTTCTTTGCAGCTTCAATTTAGCAGCACAATTATTTGCCAGAATTATTCTGTGGGAAACAAGGATAGAAAAGTAGTACAGCATGAGACCACCTGTCCACCATTCCTTGTGGCTCCTGTCAAGAGTTTGTTAGTTGCATGTTTTTATTTTAGACAATGTTGCTGCTCTTCCTAATACTTATCGGCCAAACTCCTTTATGTTAATGTAACCTTTCTTGTCATGCTGAAATCAATGCATATAAAAAAAAATCACACACACACACACACTTAAACAGTAGTTTAAGTGTGTGTGTTTTACCAGGAAAATATTTGATAAGATTTTAAAAATTGACTTTAGCAGTTAAAAAACCGTACGTACCTAATCCAACGTTAGTGGTTTCTTTCAAATAGAAAACAAAAATTAGAACCTGGATTGGAAATTACACATTTGTGATGCTAATTGATTTACTGTACTCATTTTATTGTTCAGTTGGAGAAGGAACTTGAGTTTGACTGGTCATGTCACAATAATGAGCTTTGTTCCCTCTGCAGAATTGGTTCACAATGTGCTGGAGGAACCCCAGGTCAGAATGAGCACTCCGAAAAAGCTTTCTGTTTCTTCAGAGCAAATGGAACCGACTTTTAAAAAGGTAACGCACAATGTCATCATTAAGTGTTCTTTGTCATTGCCAATAAAAGAACTCCGACAGAGAATACAGCACAATGGCTTTAAAAGAATTTGATTTAACTTCAGAGTAAGAGTGTTCACACTCTCGGAAGTCTTAGCCGCACCATTCATTTATAAGTCAAGTGTCAACTTAGACCCAATTTTATTTAATTGCACTTAGGAATAACTCGAAGTCATGACACTGGCAGTGGATAGGAGAAACTATTAAGTCAACTTAAACGGCAACTTTCATCATTTTTTCATATTTTTTAACCCCTGCTTGTACAGATGCACCGGTCAGTGATCGGAACTCGATTGTTTTTGGCAGAAAGCCACGAAAGCATCAAACTCGCTATTTCTAATATGTGTAACAGTAAGGCTGACTGTGGCAGTCACCATGAGGTCACTTCACTTTTTTAACACTTTTTTTATGCTTTCAATAAAAGGAAAATCAGAATTGGCAACAAACCCTTTTGGCAGGTCACACAAAAAAAACGTAAAAAATTGTAATTGGTGAATCACTACATCAGTGTTCTCCACAGAATTTATATAAATACATTTTCTTCAGCTGGTACCTGGTTTACCCAATAAAATAAAACTACAAATGTCTGTTGATGGGTTTCCTTCAGAATCTATGTCCTTTTTACCTTACAATTAAAAATTGCTGATCTGAATTAAAAAAACAAACAGTGGGGAATAAGTGAGATGAGTGTCGGCTGGAGGGCAGTTCTGGTTCTTCATTTGAGGAGAAAAAAGGACAGTAATGTTGTTATTCTGAAAATGCGGACCTTTTGTTTTACAGAACAATGTTACATTTGCTGTTGATGCATCAGAACAGAGAGCAGGTCAGACTCAGGTGTAGTGTAATAACATGCCTCTTCATAAATGAAGTGACAGCTGCTGTAACAGTCTCTAAACTCTTCACATATTTATGATTCTAATGCTAATTGTCAGGACTACATTTATATTATATGATAAAAATTATTTTTCACACCCATCTCATTATTCAGGCCGATACAACTGCCCTAATAGCACCTGCAGGAGACGGGGAAAAAAAGTAACATGGTCCAAAAACAAAACGGAGGCAATATCTGACCCTTTTGTGCTTCGAAAAAAGTAAGAGGCAATATCTGACCCTTTTGTGCTTCTGAAGCCCTATGTTGTGGTTCTTTCAGATTCAACAGATGGAGTGGAGAATTATGTCCATAAACAGGGAGACAGAGAGGCTGAGGGAGGAAAAAGAACATCTACTGGAGGACAACAAAGAATTGGCCCATAACTGCCGCAAACTCCAAGCCTCCCTGGATTCCTTGCGTAGCAAGGAAGCTGTTTGTGAAGAAATGGTCCAGGCAAAGGCCCTGGCTGAACAGGAGCAACACTGCAAGGAAATCATGGCACTGGAATCCCAGCTGATTGCTTCCCGCAAAGATGTTACCAAACTTCATAAGCAGCTGCTGAAGCTAAGACAGGACCTGGGGATTCTCAGAGCAGCCCGGGACTTCTATAGGCACCGCAAAGTGGGACCATCGCAGCCGGACGGAATTGTAAGCAATATTAGTACCAAGGTTAAATTCAAAACAACAAGGCTCAGAGGTCCCCGCCACAATCGTAGCCACCGAGCAGTCAGCCCCAATCAAGTTATTAACTGGCAAGGCCGCAGCCCCAGTCCCACTAAGGACGAGTGGGAGGACATGAGTGTAGAGAGGTAACGATACACACACGCACACAGAAGCAATTTTTTTTCCTGCCTCATTATTTTTAGGTGGTTGAAGTGAAGCGGGTGGCTCCACGGTATTGTGGAGGGGCCATGCTGCAACGAGGGGACAGCGTGAATATGCAAAATGTAAGCAAATGGGTGATTGAATTTCATTGTCTGTCTGTTTGGTATTCACCAGCCAAAATAAGGATGTGAGCAAAAATGATACAGAGCAGAGATAGAGGAGGGGGAAAGTACTGTCAGATCCCTGGAAATATCCTGGGATGCCTCGCTTGGAGCTCATTGACTGAAATTTGCATGCCTAATTAGCCACCTCTCCACACAGAGTTGAACCGATGCCAGGAAAGCCCAGGGATAAGGAGGCCGCCAAAGACCTGATACCTTCCAGTGATGCCATTTTCATGCACTAGTCACGCTATCTTAGAATTGACAGTTTGGCAGTTTGATTTAATTTACTGGTCCTGTGCTTTCACTAACCCCCTCTTGACAGCACTAAGGATCCCGCAGCAACCCCCCAACGCTCTCTTCTCACAGACCTGCACCAATGATGCCGACGCCTCCTTGCCTTGTTTTGGTTATCTTATGAGATACAATTGGCAAATGTGCGCATTTCACACATTCCTTCAGCAAGGTCTTAACCACCCACACCTCGCCCTCCCCATCTCCTCTCTCCTCTTAGTTTTTTAATTTAGTTAGAAGTATATTGAATGACCCTCCTTGGCTCACTACCAGATGTTTAACACTGTCTAAATTAAGAACCATCGACAGTAATTAATCGTGTACGTTTTATGCAAAAAAGCCACTGAGCTCAAATTTATTGAGTGATGGTTGGAATGATTTGATTTCAAACACTCAGCTCTCCCATATATTTATTTCACTTCACTTCCTCTCCCTCTTTACCGCTGTCCCTCGCTCTTCATTCACTAATTCATCTGACTGTAAGCCTTCTGCTCTGTCCGTGTGAGGCTGTTTAACAGGGACTAGGCGCTGCTCTGCCCTGCTTTCCTAATGCCTCTCCATGTAACTAATAAGCAGCAGTCTAATATACTTTTACCTGAGAGGAGGATCTAAGTGGATTTGAGAGGAAGGGGTCTAAACTGAGATGTTGTCTTATTTAAGGCACCTGTCGACTGATTTGTTACTGTAAAGCCTTCTGCGTGTGTGGTGAGCGTTCTTAGTAGAAGAAAAAAACCCATAACTTTTAAAGGGTGAAATGAAGATGTCAGACTCAACTACTGACACTTCACTTGTGTTTTTCTTTTTTGTTTTTCATTTTTTGAGACCATCTTTTAATTTTAAGTCTGGGATCAGAAGATTATCATCTAGGTTGTTATTGATAGTATATTTTACTGCATCAAAACATATGTATAAATAGAAGAAAAGACTTTTATTCTTTATAGATTTTGTGTGTTTCTATCTCCAAGAAACATTTCAATAAAACTTTACTTTAAAGAAGCCAACAGACAAAATGTCTTCAAACATATGGCCAAGTACAGAACATGTCTGATGTTCTCAACTAGACAACAACTGCAGAGTTTAACAAAGACAGGAAGACTGTCAATAGTCTTCCTCTAAACTCTTTGTATTGAAGAAAAAAAATGTGCTTGTCCATTTCTTTTCAAGCAAAGAGTAAATCTGTGAGTATTTGTTGGAATGTATGAGCCAAATATACTTTCAAATATAAAAGTTTTTCTGATATAGCAAAAAAGAAATTCTAGACATTTTTTAATAATCATCAAAATTCCTGGTTCTCCAAATTGAAAAACATGTGTACTCACAAATTAGCTAGTGGAAACTACTTTATGCCCATATATGTACGTACTTCCTTTTAGGTAAACAATATTTTGTCCTTAAAATCTTTTGTTTTATGCCAGTTGAGCCTGCATATATACACTACATTTAAATGACACACTACTATGAAACTTTACCAGAACTATTAGCAGAAATACGGTTACACTTTTTATCATCAGGTCCGTAACCTGGGTCTTAATGGTGACGATTAGTGATCCTGAGCAAGTCCCTGTGCCCCCTCTGGACCAGGTTTAACCCTAACTAGCCTCCAGTCTTGTCAAGTTCCAGTTAGATCCATTCTCAGTGGTCTTTACCACCGCTGCTTTTCCCAAGCCCCACCTTAATAAACCCACCAGCGTAAATGTCACTGGCTTCCACCTTCACATCAAAGGTCACTGTCAATAAACCTGTGTGTGTGCCAGTGTGTGTGTGTGTGTGGGAGAGGCGGTGTGTCTCAGGGAGCCCTTACCGTGTGTCCATCAGATGCACCTTTGCTTGGCTTTGCTCAGCCGTGCCTCTCACACACGTCTGTCACACAGAGGGCTAATGAAGGCCACAGCTGCTCTCATACATGTTGATGCATTCACTATCAGCACTCGACACTGCAGCATTTCACTTAATTTACACTCACATTTACAATTACAGCTCAGAAATTGGAGAAGACATTGATTTCCTGTTGGAGGAAAGTGGGGCAAAAATGCACATATTTTTGCTTGATGTCAGCTAAGTCAACCATAAATAGTAAATTGTTTGTTTTGTTTTTTTTCCACAGTTGATACTTTCTTAAGTGTTGTTGGATTTGCTTGCCACCTGTAATAATTTATTTAATATTTGGTTACAGTGACATTGGTGAGGAGTTCTCTGACAGTCTCAACACTGTCTCCTCAGAAAGGCCACTTCAGAGACGACGAGCTGAAAGAAAGGTTGGAGTTTCACTTTCATCTCTGTGAATGAGCCAAGCCATCACACTGCTGATAAAAACATAAATAATACATTTTTAGAGATTTTAGAGTTGTACTATTACTACTCACTTACAAGTACTATAACACAGAAGTTGAAAAATAAGAAATAACGTAAGCAAGTGTCACTTAATATGTGTAAATTATGGTAAAAAAATGTTCATAAAAAGAAGATGCTGCGGACAGTCTTAGCTGTATGCTATAACAAAGAAGTGATCTCTAACTCTTTATTTTCAGATTTAAAAAAAAGTTCAGAAAATGTAAGGTGTTTTTAGATCCCCTTCTCTCCCCACTCCAGATCTCCAGCCTCTCATGGCTCATTGCTGTGACAGGCCTAACCTCTTACATCGTACTGTCACAAAGCAAAGGTTGTGCTCGCCTTTTTCTCTCAGCAAGACACCGTGTGATCAAACCTAATACTGATCAAATCCTACCTGACCCTTGTACAAAGGAAACAGGTAGAGGGGGGGGGGGACTTCATTCTTTGATGTCACTACAAGGATGGGGTTTGGAAACATCCTGTGTAGGCACTCAAATGTGCAAATGACTTTACACTTGTGCAAACGTCAAACTGTAGAAGTGGATTCAAGCTCTTCAGTGAGACAGTCATTGAACAAAGAGGGCACTCGCAAGAACCTGTCAGAAATGATAACTGCTGAGAAGAGCTCCAGATGAAGTTAGCTGAACAGACTGCAGATGAAATATTAAAGCTTGGGACAATTTTGTCATGTTGCATTAAAGTCGCCGCAGAACATGATCACAGTGTCATTAGTATCTATGTCTCTACACACAGCTTGTCAACTAGTTTTTTTTTTATGCAGTTCTACAGGTGCTCAGTGAACTCAGAAGTACAAGGAGAGTCGTACAGAAATAAACGGAATATTTTGGCCCGAGGTAAGAAACCTACATAAAACTGAGAGAAGTTCCTACTGTTATTGATCAAATGACATAAAACAGATAACTCTCTTTTGCTTTTTTGTACAACACACTAAAAGAAAAAATGTTATTTAAGCTGTTATATATATTTTAGTTTTCAGTTGTTCATACGCAAGGCACTTTCACACACGCCTGTTAGGTCCCAGCAGTGGTTTCTAAATAAGGATTTAGAGTTTTCCTGTGCTCTTGTCAACTCTGAGGTGTCTGCATGTTCTTCCGTCTGCTAGATGATAAACAGCATGAGCCCTGGGAGCAAGGGACGAGGGAAGAGAGAAGACGGTGCAGGAGTAGGAGGAAGCTCACGAAGACCCGTTGCTGCTCCTCCTCCACCTCCCTGCAGCAGCGTGTCGAGTCCCTACAGCGTCATGTTTATATACTGCAAAGTGCCAGGAAAGATGCTTTGCTTTCTGCCAAAGAGCTACAAACTGTCAATGAGAAGATGTCGGCACAGCTCAGCTCTCTCACAGAAAAACTCAGCGGCAGCAAACAAGTCATACAGGTAAATTGGTTAAGAAGTATCACAAAAGTTCTAATTTTGTCATTATCCTTTTTTGTCATTTTTGCTGTTTTTTGTTTAGAGGGAAGCTGCATATTTATTCTTTTTCTTACGATGCTCAATATCTGTGGCTGACAGGCTTTTGCCGTGGAGGTCAGCATGCCATAGCAGAAAGGAGCCGACAGTCTCTCGCTTACGTTTTCATAGTGGTTAATGTTTCAGCATGTCAGTCCTCCACAACAATTTGTGTCATTCGCAGCTTCCTGTCTTCGAGTGCATGAACCCGTGAGTGTGCCCTTAGCACCCGGTGTGACTGCGTCCAGCGCCATAAGCTCATTGAGTTATTTAGTACCTGCCTGCAGGTAGGAAACTCTTAGGACTTGGTGAAGATCGTAAATAAAACACCAAATACTTTGCACCTAAACAGAATCTTTCCCGTTCGGACACCCATCTCATCACTAACATATGTATACACACACACCCATAGACTTATAAATACATTCACACACAAACCAAATATAACAAAAATAACAAGACTGACACAGTAGTCAGTCTGACAAACAGGAGACTTCTAGCAAATTCAGACACTCCAGCAGCCAAGTTAGGACACAGTAGACACCTGATTAGGTGCCTGTGTCTCTGTGCCTGTGTATCTATGGTCTGGATTTGTACAGATACAGTATTGGTACACAGAGGTTAGAGGGCAGTCTTCATAGAGTTGCTGCCCAGGAAGTGGCCCTTGTGCTCCTTCCCAGGCATCTGATTGCTGAGCCCCACTGAGACCTTAGAGTCAGACACAGCAGTGAATGCACACAAACAAAAACACAGCACAGCTTGCGTGTGTATGAATGGGCAAAGATGGAATTGCTGTCTTCCTGTTTGTTTCCCATTCCTTGTGCAGTATTAATGCCACTCCTCCAGAGAAAGTTGCAGCAACCGACTGGCCAAAGCCAAGTCTTGTTGCCCTCTCTGTAAAGGCCAAGAGGTGATGGACTTTGGGCTTGTTTCAGTTGGTCCCAGAAACTCTGCAACAAAGATTCTCTCTTGTAATTGGCCTAGGACAGCCTCCACAGGGGCCGTCATGTGAGAAGTAGCATGGCATTTTCACAGAAACGTGTTTGTGTTGCTCCTGTTCCTGAACCTCTGGATGCCCTGTCCTTTCATTGCTCCGTCCTTACTTTCCTCTTAGCCTTATTAGATACAAGAGATACTTATTAGGCCTTATTTTCTTATTAGATACAAGAGATACTTATTAGAAACTAATATTGAGATATACTATCATAGGTATTAAGGCAGTGGTTCTGGATGTTTTTTGGCTTTTGATTCTGGTCATGTTTGTTATACTGTGCTGTAAATATAAAGTGGTCAGATTAGTGTACAAAGTGAGATTTTATTTTCCCTGATCACATATAGGGTTAGGCGAACTTGTCTTTAGAAGGCTGAAAACACTGTAAATAGTCTCTCAAACCGTTACTGCAGTATCTTCAACTGGCCACAGCGAAGATTTGAAAGATGGAAAGTATTACAGTGCTTCAGTTTCAGCTTCAGTTTGTCATGTTTTTTTTTTTTTATCAACTACTAGACATTTCAGGCAACCTCATTTGAATTCCAGGCAACCCCACATGGAATCGTGACCCCAAAGTTGAAAAACAGTGCATTAAGGGGTACCAGCCTTTTGTGTTCATTTTTGTTGACCTCGGTTCTGACAGTGACAAAGTGATTTCACAAAGTTACGTGTGTCTCTAATGTGCTACATTAATGTATGAGAATAGAATGACCTGTTGTTCAGATGAGGTAGAACAAAAAAAGAGAGGGAGAGAGCTGTCTAGTCTTCCAGGCTAATGGATGACCGCTATATCAGTCCCTGTCAGTGTCATCTCTCAGCAGAGCTTAAAATGGCCTACAAAATCAAAGCCTGTCTTACAGGAAGTGTCATCAATGCCACTCTTAATTCGTGCACCGCTGCCATTGCAGCCATTGCCTCACTTTTCATTCCCTACGCCTATCACTTCTATTGCCTTTCTATCTCTCTCTCTCACTCTCCCTTTCTCACTCTCTCCACCTCCACCTCTCCTGGGAAAGGGCATGTGCGTCTTCAGCAGAACACAGGAAACCTAAAACAAGAGGGATTCTATTAAAAGGTGTCAGCCAGCAACCAGATATCAATATCCTCCGTGTACGCAGTGCAGAGAGCAAACCCGTGGGATTCTGCGGTTTCATTCGGGTGTGTGTGGCTCTGCATGTGTTCCAGTATTTACCCAGTGCGTGCAGCATACATCTTCATGTATCATGTCTCCTAGTTGTGCCATTAGGCCCAGAAAGAGCATAAGCTGGCTGGAAAATGATTAGTATTGTTAGAAAAGAGCTTCTGGTCCTCGTTCACATTTACTTCGAATCAGTGTTTCTCAAAGTGGGGGGCGGGCCCCACTGGTGGGGTACGGAGACATGAAAGGTGGTGTGCGACAAATGGGAGGACATTTTCAAGGTGTTATTGATTTTGATTCATTGTCAAATATTATGTACAGTATACTTAGTGCTAGTTCAAGATTCAAGATTTTTGTTTGGGCAACAGACAGGTGGGGTGTAAAAATCCCTATTTGTTCAAAGTGGGGAATGACCACAAGAAAGTTTGAGGACCACTGCTTTAAATACATGGAAATGTAAAATGGTGGAACATAGCATGGCACTTGAGTCCTTTGACCTCTTGATAATCACCTCAAGTCAAAACATGGCACCAGGAGTTGAAGCTTCCAAGAAGGATGTAAATTATTTTACGCAAACATCATTTATTGCTTCATAGTTTTAAAGCCAGAATGTTATCAACAATCACTGCAAGATCTGGGCAGAATCTTGTATATATCAGGTATTTAATTGGTATGTCAGGTGGTCGGGCAGACCCTGAAAGTATGCGCCTGCTTGTCGATTCTACTGTTTAATTTTTAGAGAGTGTACCAACTTTTCTGGATGTGGGTCCTTCATTTTGTCTTACCTTTTATTTTTTACTCATTACTTTACAACCGCCTCTGCTTTGGTCAAGTAAGAATAAAAAATACAGTTTCTGTTCAGTTGTCATTAGCAGAAGTCTAGCCCAAAAAAGTTTTTTTGTTGTTGTCAATCTTTAGAAACTGACCTCTGACCTAGCTGGCGTGGTGCAACAAAAAAAGGTTCTTGAGATGGAGCTGGAGCAGTGGAGGCAAAGCACTTTCCCCCAGCAACCTGCACCACCTGCACCACCACCAGCAGTACCTGTAAACACAGAGTGCTCCTGCCAGGGCAGAACCAAATCCCCTCCCACTGACTCTGCCCTCCAGGCCCTCGAGGCTGAGGTCAAACAACTTCAAACAAAACTTAAGGTTAGTTGCTCTGTGTCTTGTGTATTGAGTCTAGTACTGCAGATTTAATGGTATCGTCAGATGCTTTTGTCAAATTCAGAATTTGTTGTCAAATAAGTCTCTTTATTAAATGATGATTATTTAATGTCATATAACTTTACATGTGTTTACCATAAAGCTTCTGAAAGAACAGGCTTGTCAGAGGGTATGATCTAAGTTTGGCTCAAAGGTTTTTCAAGTAGAAAAAAAATAACCAAATACTTTTTTATTTTAACATATATGACTCACTTAATAAATTTATGATTAAACATTATTTTATTTTTCCGTTTTAAAAAAATGTAAAAACAAAATTATTTTACAAGTTATTCAAGTATCTTATTCACTTGCTTACATTAACATTCCTTTAGAAATTGAAAGAAAAAAAATTCTCAAGGTTTAACATTAAATCACAGGAAAGAAAAATGAGTGCGTTTCTTTCTAATTTACACTTGCCATCAGCTGAAATTGCTTGTGATTTTAACATGGATTGCATTTCTTATCATTTGATCTCATTATGGAGCAGCTGTCAGAAAGATGAGAAATAAGGAATAATAGTAGAGACGTGCCCTACATCACAGGGAATAAGGTGTGCGTGGCACCGGTGTTATTGCTGTCTTCACAGCCAGCTTGTCAGTGTCACCAGCCAGATTGCTGCTGTCGTTACACACTGACAGGAAGGTCATGTCAGGTGACACCAAAAGAGGCGGGTAAGGCGCGCACTGTGGGGGTGCGTGCACACAGTGAGTGAACACTCGAAAGCTGGCAGTGTTGCACATCCCACCAGGGACGTGGGGCCTTTTAAACCAAAGTTATCTTGACGTTTAAATATCCATCAATTTCATGAGCAGAAGCCAACTTCATTAGGCATACCTACTGTATGTGATTCAAATACTAAGGAGCAGAGAAGCACAGATGTGGTACTGAAAAATCTTACTAGAATATTTATAATTAATATATCACTATAATGTATATCAAATAATAAAAAATAGAATATATTAAATAAATAAATTGATGTTCAAAAAGAGCTCAAGGTTCAAGGGCTCTACCAATCGTTATAGTTACTAATTTCTTGTCTTATCTTATCCACTTAGGAAATACAGTTTTCCACTTAACCTCTTTTAGCACCTTCTACCCTCCTGCTGTAGCAATAATGAGGAGGCACGCTGTGCATGACCTGTCATCAGCGGTGCCATCAAAACCTTCCCCACCCCCTACATCCCATTGTATACACTCCGACACATTAACAAACACATGCACTGTGGGCCCTCTCCGCAGAATGCGAGCGCAGAGGTCACGAAGCAGGTGGCAGCCAACAAAGCCCTACGAGGCCAAGTCCAGGAGAAAGACGACGCACTGCACCAGCTACAGGACAAGTGAGATTCACACCATTCACACCATGTCATTGTTCTCTTTTCAGTTTTGCTTCTCACTAATGATTACCAGTTCATTTTATGTGACTTTTACCTCATTTTTAGACACCCACCACTCAGTCTTTGTCTCACTTCCTTCCACTCGCTGCTCTGTTCTTATCTGTAGTGTTTGATTCCACCCTGTGGCAGCACTCTTGTCTGCTGCTCCCGTCTCCTCTGCATGAATCATTTGTCAAATTATGCGCGTTTTCATGAGTGAGCGCATAAAGACGACTGGAGGAATTAGAGTGCATGCATTCATGTGAATGTGGGTGTCTTGTGTGTCACGTAGTGTGGTTTTTGCATATGTGGGCAGCTGATGTGCAGTGTTGATCAAAGCAGCGTATTGATTGATTGTGTGCCGCCGGAGGGACCATTTTGGCCCATGACACTAAAACCCACACAGCATCGCTCTGGCCTGTGGGCCACGAGCCCTAATGAGTTACATGGTTCACCTATTGCTGCACTGGTTTTATTTCACATTCAGAACGCACATCTATAAACAGTTTACTCGGAGAAACTCTTGTGATTTAATCAGTGTTGTATAAGACACATATCATCAATCTGCATTAGAGTCTGATTGCTTCTTTTTTTTTTCTGGGAGAAGATACAGAAAGAAAAACTTGTGGATTTTTTCCATGCACTTTCTTTTTGTCTGCTATGCTTTGTCCTCTGCTTGTCACTCTCAATAATCCAGCCAGGGCGTGTGTGCAATCACAGTGGGTACATGTTTGTGTGTGACTGTAGCCCGGCAGATCACAGTCAGACAGAGTGGGCCTCCCACAACTGGGTTTCAATGACAGCTTTAGTTTCTCCTTTGGCTCTTGTCACACGGGTACACAAACACATACACTTGTCACTGGCTGCCTTTTCTGAGCACACTGTTCCATTTGCCTTCATGGAGGGACCCCTTCTCAGAATGAAAGGCTTGTCTAGACGTCTCTAAAATATACATCTCAGCACACACACAGGGAGCAGGGCTGCTTGGCCTTAAAGAAGAGAAACAGGGAAAAAAGAAATGAATTTCAAAGTACACCGGCATGTCCTCAGTCAATATCCGGCACCATGGCCCTGCCTTATTTATGAAGCTGCTTCTTTCATCTTGAACACTGTTGTCTATAAGCCACATGAAACGTTCTCCAGCACTTGGTTCCTAACAACATACACAGGAAAAAGTGGTCTTCTCTTCTCACTCTCTCTAATACACACACTTCACACTGCTGACTGTTATCATTACAATATACGCATGTTAGATGAACAATATTGCCAACAAGCTCAGAACAAAGGCAACAAACGTGCGAGTGATCGGGATAAAGTTAGAGTTCTTGCCCTTTTTCGACTAACACTCATAAATAGAGATCACACGCTACGGCAGAGGCACCACACATCCTTCATTCTTTTTTATCCTCTATTCTTTTTGGGGTGCAGAAGAAGAGGACATCTAAAATAAATGTTGTCGATTTAATTGCCATTAGCACTGGGACACAAGGAGCTTCTGGGGCTCTTATTGCTGCTCTCTGTCTTAAAGTCAAAACCAGACAGTCATCTGAAAGGTTCAATATGGGTTTTCTCATTAATGGCCAAATCCATGGGGTATCCAACCAGCAATACTTCCCCCATAAGTCCCCAGGCTAGTCTCCCCTCTCATTTAATTTAATGTCACTCCAATAGGACAAGCTCACATTTATTTAACCAGTCTGCCCCCGGGGCACTCATCCACCTAGGGAGGCAGGGACATTTACTTACAAGAAAGCATTTGCTCTCGCGTTGCATCATCTGTTTATTTAAAACGGACAGGGCCTGATGCTTGTGGTGGATGAGGAAAGATCTACATCTTTGTATGTAAATAAATAAATTAAGAGAACCATTTAATTATGTGCAGCCCTGTGATCTTTATTCTATTTGTTCCACCTCCCTAAAGTATAAAAAATGCCTCATATTCGCCTTTTATGAACACAGAATAAAACATTTGAACACACTGAGCCAATTTGAAAGAAGGCATTGCTATAATGTGGCTATCGCAAAAAAAAAAAAATAAACGTATAAAAAGAAGCAGGCTGTTAGGACAGGAAGTCACATGTGGTGCGTGTTTGCAACAAGAGACACACAACAGTTTACAATCCAACCTTCTCTGTGTTTTGGGAAGTGTTATTCACACAGTGAGAAACACAGGCCAATTTTTTTCACAGCATATTTCTCTCATCACCCGTCATCCCCAGGCCCAGTCTCTGTTGATGTATTTTTTATACATGATTGTCGCAGTGTTAAACTGACAATAATAAACATTTAAATTCTCCATTACGCTGTTTCAAGCTGTGTCAATGCTGATTCACAATGTCGTTTGTCAAAAAGAACTCCCTGGTCACACTTAGAGTGCCATTCCTCAAAAGAGCACTTGGTCTAATATATGCCAGTTAGAATTATATATGCATCCCTATTTCACACACACACCCCTCCCTCCACTAACCCAAACAGCATGCCAGTGTATTTAGTTGTCATAATGAGCTGCCATGCCTGATGCACTGCATAGGGACACTGTGCCTGCCAGTTCCATTTGTGTGTCTGGGCTGCTGTTTACATGCTGTGTGTGCGCACACCAGTGTCAGTATACTGTAGATGTTAAATATACACTACTTCTATGTGATTAATGCTGTATAACAGGGCTGCCCACACCTTTTTGGCTTGGGAGCTACTGTTCAAACAACCAGGCTAAGGTGATCTACCTGCATTGAAATGATCAAAATAGATTCACGTATTAAATGCACCTAACTCTTCAGCACAATATAATTAAATTCTTAGAGTATATAGTCACTGCTACACTTTATAGATTTATGTTTATATTTTTTCTTTTAATTACTTATGATATACCAGGGCTCCCCTTTTGCCATTTACTGGTGAATCCCAATCGACTTTTTGGCCACCTGCCGTATAGTTGTGTTGACACAATGTTTTTAAATATTTTCTCAGGTTAAGTCATGTGGAGCGTGACGTGAATATGAAGAGGCAGCTCGTGGAAGACTTGAAAACTAGACTTAAGTTTTTGCAGGAAATGGAGAAAAGCTATAGAGGACAATTGGAAGATCTGGAGAAGAAGGTAATGTTGGCAGACACTGCCCTAAAGTACATGACAGTTCAATGTTTGTTTAATAAAATGACATAGTAAGGATGTGTAATTGCTATTCAAAATGTCGTAGGTCTTATTTGATATATTAGGCTGATTTTAATGTCATGTTATTTCACGGTGATGCGTTTTTTTACATTTCATCATTAGGTAAAAACTCTATCAGAAGAAGCCACCAATAGGAAGGCCCTCATCGACTCTCTGAAGAGAAGACTGAACGTGGCGACCACAGAGAAAAAACAGCGTGAAGCATCTTGTACAAAACTAACAGAAGACCTGGAGAAAAAGGTTTAAATAAATAAATAAAAACCTATAAGTATATGACCCACTATAAAGCCAGTGACACCCATTTATTCTACAAACATTTAGGAAGTGCAAGCTAGACTACTGTATACGCTGCATATGATATTTCAGCACCTAAAATAGTCGTTCAGTCATAGTTGTATGAGTTATGGCATAACAGCAGCAAATCTCTCTTCCCAGGATCAGCAGATACGTTCTCTACAGGCTCGCATTGGATCCAGTGAGCAGGCGTTAGAAGCACTGGAACAGACCGCTACCAAGCAAATGGAGGGTTTGACCCAGAAGAGTTCCAATGCCTTGGACAGACTGCAGAGACAGCTAGGCATTGCTTACTCTCAGCTGGAGCAGCTTCACTCTTTTATCAAGGTATTTAGTGAAAAAGGCAACAGTAAAATGTTTTGGGTTTTTTTTATTTGTATTTATATTTAAAACTATAGAAATTGCAGGAACATAACATTTTGGTTAGGGCCATAGCGGGCAAACTTTTAGACACACCATCAACACACAAGCGGGTTTCCCGGATTTCTATCCTTGTGACTTTGTCATAGTTCATTAAACACATTGTTTGTTTTTTTTTTGTTTAGCTTTCACGCAACCTCTTGTCACAATAAAAGCATTTATTACGAAAGTCAACACAAACTTTTAGACACACCATCAACACACATGAGGTCCACCTTTATTACTTAAATTACAAATACAAGCGTTAACTGTCCACTAGCTCTGGCCTGCTTTTTTATATGGAGGCCAGTGTCCAAATCTGAATAGAGTATCAAAGTGACTAGCACCCCGTCTTCACCCATGTGTCTGTGTTTTCAGTCTGTTTTTGTTGTGTAATCATTGGCAACGGAGACGGTTGTCTCTTTGCCATCCTAATCCATCACCCTACGGTGTGTTATATCAGTGTGGCAGAAGCTGATAAGGATTGTCCATCAGTTCAGTTCATTGAAGGCTGTCTGTCACAGCAGGAAATGTCTTGGCAGAGATGGATGGCAGGAGCGCTGTATTTGCACACACCCATAAATCAAGTAAAAGATTATGACACAGTTTATTTTCTGTTGTTAACATATCTGTTTACACGAGCGATAATAATTCATACAAACTATTCCTGTTTGACTCAGTTTGCAATTGACAACTGCTAAGGGTCAATTAGTCTCGTACTCCAACCGCTGATTTGTTTTCATTTATTTAAACCACTGCTTGTGCTTCAAGTTCCATGCAAATCAAAATGTAATATAACAACTGGCACGAAATACAGTTCATGCAATTGAACTTTCTTTCTTTCCATGCCCATAGCCCCAGGCCGGTTGGGCCATTGTGTTGTTGTTGAGGATTCACATCATTGTTTGTTTCCCTCTGGCTCTTGTGATCCCCTATAAGAACACCGAGCCCTTTGATTGGACTGCCTGACGTCCAGGGGAGATTTACTCTTGTCATGTATTGATCACGACCGGAGGGCTGTGCGTGTGTGTATAGATGTGGCTGTGTGTGTGTGTGTGTGTGTGTGTTTATGTGTGTCTTTATGAGCCTTTTTTTGTCCATTGCCCCCGTATGTGATATTTTGTGTGTGTGTGTAGATTTTTATTGAGAACCAAAAAAAAAAGTATTGGCCCCCTGCACTAGCCCCAGGCTGTAAGCACTGTTGTTGAACTGCAAAACAGTGGCCCTGCATGAAGTGACTTTGAGATGCACACTCTCAAACACACACACACACACACACACACACTAAAGGTAGCCTTGAACCGGACATGTTACAAGATAAAGTTTGATTATTTTTTATTAATGATTTAGATATGATTTTTTTTAAGATGCAAATAGTAGAATGATCTGTAATTAATCATATATTAAATCAGTTAACATCTGGAAAGTTTTTTACATATACAATAAAAGCAACTTCTGTGATTTAAGCTCCTCGAGGAAATGTAGGCGATATTTCTTCATTTGTTTTTCAACCGTAATCATCTTAGATCAAAAGATAGAGGAAAAAGAAATTTGTCTCGTTTTAAAAGAGATTTTTATTCATAATTACATTCAATATTGCAAATTTTATCTCAGGATTATTTTTAAAAACCTTCAGTCTCCTCTGAAAGTCGGAGGAGAACTCCGTTTTCTTTTCTCAACGTCTGTCATCAGAATTTACTGTGGATACTTCTGAAAAAGTATGTTTTTGTTTGTTTGATATCTGTATCTTTTTTTTTTGTTAAGGCTAATATTCATAATTCTTCAAAAATCTGTGCAGTAGAACAGTGAGTGTGTGTGTGTGCATGCGTTTGTGTGTGTGAGTGTGTGTGTCTTACGTCCCCCTTTCCTCATTTTGTTTCTACCAGGGCTCAGAATGAGCAATAAATTCACCTCTTAATCTCTGTCTGGATTATTCCAAATGCTGGGTTCAGGTCAATTGAATTCAACCCTTCACTAGTAAGAGTGAATATCTATTAGGTTGTAAATAAAAGAATAGGACCTCAGACAGTTGGTTAATGAGCTGTGTATTCCTTAAGGGAAAAGACGGCTCTCAGATCAGCATAAAGAGCTAACGCTGCCGTCCTTTATCAGTAAATGGACAAAAAAATTTAATTTGTCCATGTCCCCTCCCTGTTTTTTCTTTTAATATATTAAACTAAAAAGGAAGGTCCTAATTTGTCCACATGAATGATGTGTTCAAACACATGGCCACGAGGTGAAGGAATTGTCGTGTTTGACTTTTGTTGGACTTCTCAAACTGTAATGCGTTTAAACATTTGATCAATATATTGGACAGGGCGGCACCATTTTTAATCCTGCGATTTTCCGTGTGGAATCAGACGTCCTATTTCAATGAGCATGTCTGTTGAATAAAATACATTTTACGTTAATGTCAGGATTTCTATTCTTTTGTACCCTCTGAGTGATACTATGTACAACAGTGCCATCTATAGACCACCTAAAACACACTCCCGCCTGCTGCCCTGAAGCTGCTAGTTAAACTCCCTTTGTTAACCTGATGTACTGTTCAGCCTACACTTAAATGCAGTCTTGGACCCGTTGCGTTTAAACATTGTCTATATGTTGTTTGATATGATATCTTAATGCACTGTAGTCGGTTTTATGCATCACTTCAATTTCTGGTAAACAATGTATGTCCTTCTTGGTTTAATTGCGCAATACCCAACTGCGAGGAGTACTTTTTTTGTTTTGTTTTTGTGTACTGCAAGTTCTGTCTTCAGCTTTTTCTCTCCTGACCATCTATTCTAAGGTCAGCTTTTCAGCAGGCTTGCAAGGGAATTATACAGAAGATTATTGCCTTGGTCAATAATTTCAAAATGAAGCAAAGGGGAGTTTGCTTTATTGACTTTCTCGTGTACAGTGGCAGTTTTATCATTTAATTGTCTCTCTGTATTTAGAGCAAACTTCCATTTAGTGCCAGACTGCTGGGCTATCACAGGCTTTCATCGTCTTACTCGCTGTTCACTGAGGCATTTGAAACGGCCCCTTTTAGCTTAATTATTAACCGTGTTATGCCGCCCTGTTGTACTCTGAGACATTCAGAAAGCAAATAAATAAATGAAGGGCTGTATTTTCAGCAGTGCCTTTCATTCTCTGATGCGTGATTCTCTGTTTGTGCAGATTTTAGCAAAACTTGGGGTGTGTGTGATATCAAAGCTCTGTTCCCCAGGCTTCCCATCGACAGGGCAACGAACCCTCAGGTCCATATTCCTGGGGATCGTGAGGCGAAACCGAAAAGAATCTGAATGTGTCAAACTCAATATTCCTCCATAATGTACTAGGCATGGCTGCCGCATGCTTGATCAATTTCATTTATTCATCTGTCAGGCTCTTGTTTTTTCCATATCCATTTCATCATCATCTTTTTTTATTTATTCTTCTCTCCATCAGGACCTGGCCAGTGAAATACTTCTAGATGTTAAGGAGGTCAAGCAGCAGTTGATGAAGAGGAGGAGGTTGATGCAGACCAACACTGGGGCAGTTAAGGGCAACCTCTCAGCCAAGTCCATGATCAAGGCCAAGTCCATTGCAGCCTCAATTCTCAATATGTCGGAGAATGATCTTGCAGATATGCTGGACACTGATCAGGTAAAGCAGGGAAACAATTGGTACAGATTTGAACTTTGGGATCTATATTTCAGCATATCTATCACAGTTTTACAGTTACACAAAATGCTGTGTAACCCCAAACATGCTAATGGTGGTGTTGATTAGTCTTGGTTGAAGTCTAGAAATATCAGGGACTTTTTGCCCTTCTTCTGTTACGGTAAGTAAAGAAATGTGACCTAGCTTTGGACAGAGAACAAAGTCATATTTTGTTTGCCAACCACAAACCAAGAAATGGCCCTAAAATTATTACGATATTTCTTAATGTTGAAATCCAAGTCTAACTCTGGTGCTCTTTACCCTGCCAACACCAGCTCTTCTCTTTTGATCAAACCAGTTATATACAACTCATTTCTCTTGTTGGTGAAACTGAAGGTTGAGACATGCTCTGAGTTTCTACACTCTTATAACTTAGTGAGTGCCATCCCCTACCATAGATCACTCCAAGTCATGTGGGCAATTAGCAGCCCTTGTCCTGGGGGACGTCATCTCATCCATCATCGGATGAGAGACAGCACACCAGGCACTTACTCACACTTGAAACCAATTTTAGCCCTTTCGCAGCCCAGCTCCACCCAGGAGATGACAGTTTCTCACTTGACAAAAAGTCCCCCTCATCCGTGTTGAAACCTCTGTGGATAAAGTCATTCTGTTCTCCTCACTGTGTGTTTTCTCTGCCCTGCTATGGGTGTTTAATGACTGCTTGGTGCCTTAACATGGTGAGTGTAATTTTTCCTGTTAATTGTACAATAATAGAACAAAACGTGTAACAGAGTAGGGCTAATTATTTGGTTCGTGCTTGTGTTAATCAGCACCAGTTGGTAAGATTGATGCCATGGAGCTGGCTGCAAGCAGTGCTTTTTTTTTTTTTTTTTTTTTACTGCTTTACTGCTTTTTTAAAGTCAGTGGAGATTTCTTTTGTCATCAATCTTAAAGAAAATAGTGAAATTACACTGCGTTGGCATTCAAAATATTGCAGTTTTAATTTACAGAATTTCAACATTTTTTTCTTCTGTCAATTCAAACAAACAAATAACCAATCAGGGTTTTGGTTTAGGTCTGCTGTATGTTATTTGCTACAATTTAATTTTCGTGTTAAAAAAAATATATTTGTCATTGATTTCAGGCAGGAATTATTTGATCTGAAACTCGGAAAACAATTAATATTGTTCCTATATTGGTTAAAATTTCAGGATCGAATATCAAATAAAACTACTTTGGCCCATCCAATCCGATACCTAAGCCTAAATGTTCAACATAACTTTGCGCAGGGACACTATCACCTCAGTAGCGACAGCATGCAGGAGGAGGGAAGAAGGTATCGAAAATTATATCACTATCATATCGATACTCAAGTTGCAGTATTGGTATTGCACATGAAAAAGTTGAGTCAAGTCATCTGTATTTTGGGTTGACTTGTTCTATCAAATTAATAACATTTCAAATTATAGCCCCACATCAAGTGTATGAGATTTTAGGTTCAACTGTACACACAAAAAATCTCTTTCCTTTTCCCTATTGGATAATGCCTGGACCGTCACATTATTTCAAGCTGCAACATCTCGGACACAATGAGTAGAAGGAGCACATTAGTGCCAAAGCCCCACAGTCACACTTCACCCTGTTCATTAGCACTAACAAGGCTACTATTCTGCAAGGTATTTATACATGAGTAGCATAAAAACATACCGTTGTACCCTGCCACTGTGTCTCTAGAGAATTGCGTCAAGGTCCTGGCTCTTAGTTGCTACAGTTCCACCCTACAGCAGGTGAATCACAAAAGCCAATGTTAGATGTACTATCTCTCCAAAGAAACAAAGTATGTATTTAAGGTCTTGCAGCTGAGCTTTGTGTTGTTTAATTTTTCTGTTTTGTTTCCAGGGTGCAGAGGTTCGAACAGTGAGTCCAGCAGACCAGGAGTGGATGGACCAGTTGAAACACATCCTGCAGCAAAAGGTGAGCGTTGCAGGTCTGCAAAAATGTTTTATCAACAGTGTCAAAGCTGCAGTAAAAATAACACAGACAGTGGGATGCAGCATTCAGATATTGTGTAATATTTAGCTTAATTTCATTTCTAATTTAAGTGCATAGCTTAATAGAATGGTCATTTGAATGCACTGTAAAATCAATGTTAAGTATCTCAATCCTGACAATACAGGGAGAACTCACATACTTTACTTAAGTACCTACAGTATGTCACTCACCTATGCTAACACAGTTGTAACATGATTATCTAGGACATAAAAACATCAGAAGAGTCTGACACTTGGGAGCCATAATGAAGGGCAAAAGGTTCCCCAAAAAACAGCACAAAAGAAAGAAAGCACAATCCAGAGCATGGTGTATAACCAGTGAATGTAAACATAGCCTTCTTTCAGGTACAGCGCCATATGTTGACGTATTCATCACCAATTAGTTACTGTGCAAAATGTGTTTTCATGCCATTGTCTGAATGATGGACACAAGAGATTCTTCATAAACTTGTGGAAGACGTCAACGTAAACACGAGACGCTGTAGATTAAGGATGTAAAACGAGGACCCTCTGTATTTTGGATTGTGTTGGGAGAACTTGTGGTTGTCACTTCATCTGTCTTTATACCACTGTGTCCTGTCTACTGTTGATTCGTTTAGAAACAATTCTACAGTATCCTGGTGTAAATTTCAAAACTACTTGGATAATGAAAACAATTTATGCCCCCTAGTGGAGTTATACTCATAGAATATCGCTTATTTTTTCTGTTTGTAAATATATGGAGTACCTTGCCAACTTTTGGCTGTTCCCTTAAGGAGTCAGCACGGGGGAGCCTTTGCCTCCGTCTTATCAAATATCTTGCATCCTCTACTGTTACATCAACCATCTCAACGTCCTCATCCATTCATAAACTCATAAACCTTCTCTGGGGTCTCCTTTTCTTTGTGCCTGGCAGCTTAATTCCCAACACATTTCATCTAATATAGCCAGTATCGTTCCCCAGAACATGTCAGAACCATTGTAACCTTGTCTTTCTATTCCCTGTAACAAAACAGTTTTGCCTTATGCTTTTTTTAATTCTATTAATTCCTAATCCTGTCCACCCTGCTTATGTCCAATAGAGTGTATCCTTAAGTCTGTCATGGCCAGTTCAACCTGTCAATCTTGTTACGGTTCTTCCCATCAGCCATCACCTCAGGTGGCAGCAGGCAGTTTCTTCATTTGGCCAAGTTGCCAATCCGTCCCAACCAAACAGCTCCTAACTGGTCGGGACTTGTTGCCAAACCTTTACTTCACCAACACTCTCCCTAAACCTTATAGTGTAGTGGATCAACTTCACACTTTAGCTCTGTAATTCCTGAGCAAGTACACTTTACTGCCCCAGTATTGTTCTTTACAGGCAAATGAAAATGTCACTGCCATGTCTTTTGGACATCTCCACCCTCGGCTTTTAAGCTGTAAAACCTCTACCCTCTCTTCACACTCAAAAGGTCTTTAGAAACTGTTTTCTTTTTAAAAATGCACACCTCAATGGAATTTCTCTCCATTTCCTTGATAAACGTATTATTTATTTTCTGGTCTATCTGTTTGTCCAGTCATTTTCCTCTACGCTCCTGTCCTTGTCTTACTGACTTCTACACAATCCCTCTCTTCTTCCCTGTTGTTGACTATCAGTAGCCCAGTGTATCATCTTGTCAATCAACAGGACTGAAGCACCAGTCCATTAAGATCTGGCATTCTCTCCCATACGTCGTTTCTGAAGTAGTTCTCACCAATTGATACGGCCTTGGGATTGGCTTCAGGAGAACATAGACGTATTCCTTTGTTTTGTTTTTTTAAATCCAATCTCATGTAATTTCACCAAAATTATACACCACAGACCAACAGAACCAGATATTCAACCTGTTGCCCTGGTTGTTTTGTATCAGTCTCCAGCGTAGAAACATGTTAGTGTCAGAATTTTCTTAAATGCAGTCAAAAGAGGATGAATTTATTCTCCCTTTACCAAATGGTTCTCTTCTTGGCAGTACAACAAAGGAAAGCATCCACATCCTTAGTGTGTGAGCCTTTGTGTGCACAGACACTCATCTGTGAGCGCTCTGCTGAAGCTTTACTGCTGCGCTGTCAACGTCAGCTCACTGTGATATGTGTATGATTGAGTGTGTCGACTGAGTGTGTGTGTCTTGTCTGTGTTCTTGTCATTGGCTGCTGCAGGCACTCATGCGTCACCTCAGCACCGTGACACACACCAGACGCTGTTCACTTGTTCCCCAGATCTTCCGCTGACCTTTTCACCCCCCCACCCCACACACCTCTCCACAACACACATACACATCGATGTTGAATACACACAAAACACCGTACTGAATCTACGATTTTCCCTTCTAGCTGGACAGCTCTCAGTCCCTGTTCTCTCTATCTGCCATCCTGCACTGTCCCACATTTCCTCTCTCTCTCTCTCTCTCTCTCTCTCTCTTTCTCTCTCTCTGTCTCTCTTTCTCTTATTTCTCTCTTCCTCGCTCAGACCCCGAGGCAGCTTGTTAGTGGGGAACTAAATATTGATTTGGCGGGCCTGTCGATGCCGGGAGAATGAGCTAGTGTCCACCAGAGACCTCGGCACCAGCAGCCTGCTATCGACATTTTCCGTGGGCGGAACAGGGGTAGTGGAGGGGGGTGGGCGTTGGAGCTGATGTGGGGCTTGAAGGAGAAGAGGAGCAGACTATGACAAGGCTGAGACTTGCCCTCGGGTCCCTGTAAGGACCGTTGGGACCACCGCAGCCACCCCCCCACCCCCCTTAGTGAAACAGACTTTTTCTATTTCCTTTCAAGTCTGTCTTGTTGTGTTTTTGTGTTCTTCCTGTTTGTCTCATATATAGTCATCTTTGTTTCCCTAAACGTAGTTGCTTTCTTGCTCTTTGATTTGTCTTTTTAATTCATATCATCGTATAACAAGTATACTGAATTCTGAATCATTTGTACACATTTTTCATAGTTCTTTCACATGTAAATCCTAATTACACACTAATTACTAAAGAAAATTGTGCCTTTAGTCATTTTTGGAACTTCTGTAAGGTGAGATCATTCTGTCGGCTCTTGAAGCGACAATTTTATTAGTGAGAAGTATCCTCCTGCACTCCTTTGATTTCTCTACTCCCTGTCATAGCTTATGAAATACCCACCAAGCAGAACATGTGTGAAGTGGAATGGCCTGGCCTGTCACTGAGCCTGTGACACTGATAACACACTCTCCCAATAATGATATGATCTTATCCCTGAACTGCACTCTCCCACACTTTGTTAGATAAAAAGACAGAGACAGAAATAGACACAGCGGAAGGAGAGATGAGAAGGAGATCCATGATGTCCTTAACTGGCTGCCTGTCACAGGAGGAGGATGAGGTTCTGGCCATCTGTGCGTATATATGTGGGTATATGAAGCTATTTGTGCATGTGCACAGTCGGAGCAGCCTCATCTTGTCACTGTCTCGGCCTAATGGAGCTGCCAGTGGGACAGCAGTTTATTATCTCTGTGGCCCTGTCAATAGCAAACCCATCACTCACTTTGTTTTGTATCGCCACAAATATATGTGTGTGTGCGTGTGGTCGGGTGAGAGTGCATGTGAAAGACAAGTGGAGTGGCTTGTGAGTGGGTGTCTGACTCTCTTCAATTGGGCCATTGTTTGCCACAACTGTCACGAACTGCCACAGGTCAGAATAACAAGAAAGATAGACACATGTTACACTCTTCTCACAAACTTCCAGTATATGCTGAGTTACTTCCCCCCATCATGTCAACATGGTGGCATAGATTTCTGGAAGCCCTTGACTGATGCCCCACATGTCCACTCAAAATCAAATGAAACATTGCATTCATTTCCCTGTCTCTCACCTCAACTGGCAAGTTAATGAAATCAAACCCTATGCCCCTCAGTAGAGAGCCACCATAAGCAGCGCTCCATAGTCAGGATCGGGGGACGGTGCTGTCTAATAATCGTGAGCAGGCCAGGGGGTGCATTGTATGGCTCCACAGCAACACACTATGAATAAGGCTAGCAGGGAAGATGGAGTGTCCATGTGGGCCATGGGGTCCAGGCACCGACCCAGGGAAGCATTGATTTAATTGCCTTTGGTTTATTTGTGGAGTCCTAATTATTGACTGGAGGTAGAATTTAATGGGCCAAGTCTTTATGAAGACAGGGAAATGACGGGCTTCTGCTGTTGGCCAGTAATGAACAGGAGGAGCTTGTGCATGCAAGTGTCTGCACACGCACGAAAACACACACGTTCCCTGCAGATCATTTTTCAGACTCCTTTTGTACACACACATACCCATCTCAGGCCTCATGACAGCATAATAACATTTAAAAAGTCATTGACTTTGTTGATTTCTTTACGACAGGACAGTGGTTTGGTTTACTAGTATGGGGCGACGCTGTGGGCCTGCTAATATTTACCTCCCGATCACACCCGGGGGAAACGTACAAGCATCACTTCTTATCAGCTTCTAAATTATAACGAGCAGGCGAAAACATTACGTAAAGGCAATAGTTTAAACGGACACAACGTGTTATTAAACACCTATGGTCTTCATTGAGTTCTTTAATTGGCGTTTTATCATTAAACGTAGGTGTGATATAGAATGAGAGGCAGAGAAAGAACGGCACCAATGCACTGAGAAAGTTTTCTGTTGTCGGTGCTGTGAGGGTTAGGGGCTGTGTGTTGTGTGGCTCATTATGCCACTATAATGACATGTCCCACACTTCTCTCTGAAGGAAAGTGACTCTAATTAAGCCCCATTTAATCATTGAGCTAATTAAATCAGCCACTCTTTTTTTGTCTCAGTAAGTGTGTTTGTATGTGTGTGGGGGAGAGGGGAGGTGGCACAGTCTTTGTACTATAAATATGTCACTGAAACTGTAGCCGAGGGCCTGGAGGAGACTCGCATTTAACTTTGCCACGGCTCACATTAAAGTGTACGTCTTG